AGACCCAGTACCTCATCATGACATCCGCGCTAGCTGTGCTGTCATTGGCTGGACGCTTCCGACAGTCCGTCCGCCGTGCGAAACTATCTGGCACGTTGGACGCACGCCGGATCGCCGATCCGACATCTGAAGCGACCAATTTTTTCGGATCAGGCAGTCGTATTGCCAGATCGGACGTCGGATCGGATGGATATTTCGCGCATGTGTCTGGCTCGTTACTCTGTTTCGAGGTATTGTTTTGGCGTCCTCACCCGCAAGGTACACCCTTGAGTTCACTTGCAAAGCATATAAGCTTTGCCGTACACCCGCGGGCGTGCCTCACTGCATGAGTTACATATGAGGAGAGAGAGATGTTTCAGCAAAGCCTTAAAAACACAGTAGCAATCTTTTTTTTAATTGTCAATAAATAATGTTTTAATAATCAAAGATGACAAATCACATACAAATATATATATATTGATACTGATATATGATATTGACAAGAAAATATATATTGATACAAAACAAAATATTGCACATTCGGAAGAGGTCTACCTAGTGTGCCTCAATGTCCTTCTGATTAGGGTGATGCCACAATTTGAAGTACCCGATGCCGACAACACGCGCTCGCTGGGAAAATACAAAGAAATCGACGAAAACAAAATGTCGCCATAGCACAGTCAGCGCCACAAACGCATGCAGGGATACGCTCTTTCACGCGCTTCTGATCAAAAATAAAAAGAAACGTGTGGGACAAAATGGCGAGATGCCACCACCCTAAGCAAAGCGCACATGAAGGCACCCTAGGTCTACCGTGCTCGGGCCCCGGGACCGGCGCTTTGTCGGTTTGTTTTGCTCGTAGCACTGCCAATGCACGCTGGGCTCCGGCAAGGCCCCAACTTTGAAATTGTACGTTTATTATTTTTGTGCTCTTAATTTAGCCGTTACTCGTTCTATCGGCGTTACATAATCAGCGTGACAAACAGCTTGTAACGCCAATGATGTGAGGAGCTCTTAATGTCATGGCTATAAATTATGTTGTAACGCCTAAGTGGTCTAGGATGACGTGGAAACGCTGGACTGTCATGGCTACTTTCAGGGTCACTTTCTTGTCACGCCGAAATCCACCGTATGTCACGCCTAAATGGGCATGTAGCCGTTTCATTAGCCGTTACCGGACTAAGAGTGTACGGCCGCCAGCCGTCGCGCTCTTCTCTAACAATTTGATATGAAGTATACTTGGACACCGGCATTATTCGTTTAGGAATCATGCGAAACTTTGTATCGGATAATTATACATCTACGTCCACTCCCATTTGATGATTATCGTGTTTTAGACTCCGTACACAGGGTGGTTTTCAGCAGTGGGTTTTTAATCTGACTGCCAGCCAGAGCGCGAGCCAGAACGCACTATGGCCGCGAGCCGTCGCGCTCTTCCCCTTCTTCTCCGTATCAATAAACAGTCAAATACCTGGGCGGAGCCGTCAATCGTGTGGGTGTCGGGAACCAGTAACCGCTCATTCACACTGGAAGTGGATCCGCGTCTGCAAAGCGGTTGCGAACGCGGTTGTATAAAGATCCAGTGCAATTGCACGTGTACTCGATGATATCGAATGCGCGTGCAATTTACTGCATCTTTTTAGAACCGAGTTCGCAACCGCCTTGCAAACGCGGATCCGCTTCCAGTGTGAATGAGCGGTAAGTCTGACCCTTGAAATGCGGGCGTGACAAAAAACCCAGAGGCGTCTCGTTCGCCCACTTACGTACTTCCCAGGCGGAGGGGACTGTTGTTTACAGGGGAACATCTGAACAGATAAAAGTTACTCGAGCAAGCTCGCATTCAACATCAATTTATTTTCTTTATTCCTGGGCCATAGTGTTGGAACTAACGCGTTACAAGTAAAAACGTAACTGGTAACGCGTTAGTTCTTTTTCGTAACGTACTATCGTACTCGTTAATATACGAAATGAGTAACGAGTAAAGTAATGTCATTAATTTTTTACGGTATATGCTATCAAATTACGTTACGCATTACTCGTTACTCCTGATTGAAAATGGCAGCATGGTGGTTCGAAAGCAAACTAATTTTTATATTGCGCACTACAAAAAATGGCAAAGAAACCCCAACAAAGCTATGTATAAACGACTTTATTTCAAGATCCCTAGAAAGACGTCACTTTCAACGCTCCCACAACCGGTACCAAAAGGCGCGTGATTATCGCTTTGTCGAATTCTTGAGCGTCCTTGGTGCAGTCTTTGTATCGAAGCTACTAAGGCCACCGTCGCCATGCCTTGAAGGAGCAGCTGTCTCGCTGGAAAGAGACATCCGCTCAGAAGGCAACAGTCTGCCGCCGCTCGAAGGATTCTGCCGAATCGTCCCAAGCTACTCCAGCTGGTCAAGAGTTTCTCTTCAAAATAAATATATTCTCTTTCTGCCAAAAACAGAAAGGATAAACTCTAAATTTGGAAGCATTGACGTTCCCACGCTTTGAACCAAAATAAGTGGCAAGCTTAGCGCAGGAATGAAATTCGTCCGTCACCAGAAAGACCTCATTATCTTTTAGAATCCCCACCGCCGTGGTACAAAGGTGCGTTCGCTCGCTCGGTAACGACTCCCGTTCAGAAGGTCGCCTCCCACTAAATCCTCTGGTCATCCATTCTCCCATAGCGCCGCCAAAATTAGACAAAAGACTGTGTAACCACCACGGACGGCACCTTCTTTGTATCGGAGTTAGCCCCCAACTCCCTGGCATTCAAAGACCGAATTAAAAAAATTAAAAATAAACATTTGACAGAGATCTGTCTGGTTGGGAGTAATTAATATTAAAAATTCGAACACCAACCAAGCCCTTTTGTAGGGACCCAACGTTTCAAGGCCAATTCGGCCTCTTCTTCAGGGGCGAGTACGGCGATGGCCGTTGAGGAGCAGTGTCCTTTTTTTTTTCTTCCACGGCGTGGCTCTGGTCTTTTTCTTCTACGGCTATGCCTTTTTCAATAAGGTGACGAAGCCCATTCACATAGGCGGATGGTAAAGCCCCTAGAGATTTGTTGACGTTCAGTGGCGTTGTTTGAATGTGCCATTATTCTACGAACAGTCTTTTTCGAGGATTTGTCTCAACGTCAACGATGCATGCGTTGTCGAAGTCAATGCGATGGTCCTTGACGTCGCAATGCTCAGCGACCGCGCTACGCTCGTGATCGAACTTGCGCACGTCGTGTTTATGGTGACGGATTCTCTCTCTAAAGTTCTTCGTTTCGCCGATGTATGAGGCCGCGCAAACCCCGCACGGAATCTTATATACAACGCCTTGTGCCCTTTCTTACCAGGGCGATCTTTTGGGCGTGGCATGAGTCGTCCAAGGGTAGACACAGGTTTGTGCGCTAGTTGGACACCCTCTTTCGGAAGCACACGTGCCAGTGCCTCGCTTGTTCCGTTGATGTAGGGAACGCTGATGCGGGAGGTTGGGCGGAAATTCGGACTTAACTGTTGCTGCACGTGTCGTTGGTTTCGGCCTACACGGCGGGAAACGCGATGGATGAAGCTGCTCGTGTAGCCGTTTTTCTTAAGGTCAGCAATGACGGTTTGTTCCTCCTTTCTCTTGTCCTCTTCTGATGAGCAGATGGTCTTTGCCCAGGTTAAGAGTGTCCTGACCACCGACGCCTTATGATTGGCTGGGTGGCTGGATTGAAACTGGAGGTAGCGTCCAGTGTGCGTCGGTTTTCGGTATACAGAGAATTTTAGCTGTTCCTTTTGCCGTTTTACTAGCACGTCCAGGAAAGGTAAGGTGCCGTCCTTTTCGCGCTCCACAGTGAACTGGATGGCCGGCTGGATGGTGTTGAGATGCTCCAGGAATTTGTCCACTTCAGATTTTGCCAGGGCGCAGAAGCAGTCATCTACATACCGCAAGAAAATCTTGCGTGGTGTAGATAATGACTGCAGTGCCTTCTGTTCAATAGCTTCCATGCAGAGGTTTGCCGCGGTGACGGAGATGGAAGCACCTATCGCGGTTCCACTGGTCTGCTTGAAGAACTCCCCCTTAAAGCTGAAATATGTACTGTCGAGGCAGAGATCAAGGAGGCGGCACAGTTCATCCACGCTGAGGTTCGTTCTGTCGCTGAAGTTTTTGTCTTTTTCTAAAGCGTTCCTAGCCGTGGCGACTGCCAGGGGAACAGGAACACTTGTAAAAAGCGAGATGACGTCGAACGATACCATGGTGTCCTCAGCGCTCAACTTTAATAGTGCAACCTTCTCTACGAAATCGTTGGAATTGCGCACATAGGTCGTCGTATTTCCCACAAGAGGAGAAAAGGTGTGATGAAGATAGTTTGAAAGAGCACGAAGTGGCGAGGTAATAAAATCTACAATAGGCCGAAGAGGAACGCTAGGCTTGTGAATCTTCGGAAGACCATACAAGCCTGGAGCAGATCCATTCTGTTATGTACATTTAATTACATTGAAGCTATGTACATATATACAGGTCAGGTTCGGGACAGTACATGATGGACTGGCGATTAGATCAGCGGTCCGAACTGCACGAGCACTCACAAACCTTGTCACTCGTCGTCTTCTTCCGTTGACGCGAAGGTACGCTCGCAGTCGCGCCTAGCAGGCGCATGTCTTACACTCCTCCTTACTAGAGTAAGGCACATAGTCGTTAAGATAAGTAGGGCGGCGTGTTGCTCTTTGAGGTCTCGAAGAGTTGCTAGGGAAAACTGTTGTCGAACCAGCTGGTTGGACTGCTGGTGTGGCATCGCCCCTAACGTCCGCTTTTTCGGAGACCGCTTCAGGTAGAGCAGTTAAACTCAAGTCGACTGAAGAGCTATCTTCTGAGTTTTCTGCAGAAGCTGTCGCTGGCCTTCTGCGCAGCTGGTCAACATGGCGACGCCGAGATCGTCCATCTTCGGTTTCAATCCTATAGGATAGTGGACCGGTCACGGCTGTGACTACTCCAGGGGTCCACTTGGCACCGGACAAGTAATTCCTTGCATAAACGTTTTCACCTACTTTAAATAGTCGTGTCTACTTCCCTTCCTGGAGAAACTTGTCCTCGTGTATCTATAATGAATGGAACTGAGAATCTGGATGCAGGCGATCTAATGCTGTTTTCAGACGTCGGTTCATCAATAGTTCCGCAGGACTCCTGCCCGTTGAGGAATGTGGCTGTGTATGTTGACGGAACAAAAATCGCGCCAAATCGATGTTTACGTCGCCTGAATTCATGTGAGTGAGTGCCTCCTTCGTTTCTCTCACCATTCGTTCGGCCTGGCCATTCGATGAAGGGTGGTAAGGTGCCACTGCCACGTGTCGAATCTGGTTGCGGCTTGTAAATTCCCTAAATTCGGCCGAAACGAAGGCTGTGCCATTATAACTGACAATCACGTCTGGCACTCCGTGTACGGCAAACAACATCCTCAGTTTCTGTACGACGGCTGAGGAAGACATAGATTTCATAATAAATACATCGAGCCATTTCGAGAATGAGTCGACCACGATCAGAAAGATCTTTCCCTTGAAAGGTCCCGCAAAGTCAATGTGTAGACGTGACCAGGGATGTTGCGTCGTCTCCCAGGGATGCACTGGTGCCCGTGGCATCGATGGTCTGTGTTCCTGGCATGCGGAGCAACTTGCAGCCTTTTCTTCAATGTCATGGTCGATGCCAGGCCACCAGACTGTACTCCTCGCTAGTGCCTTCATCCTTACAATGCCTGGATGAGCTGTGTGTAATACGTCGAGTACAGTGGATTGCGCCACTTTGGGAATAACAAGCCGGTTTCCCCAAATGATGCATCCCTTATGAGTTGATAGTTCATCTTTCCTAGTTGTACAGGGTTTGAACTGTTCGGGTTGCTTGTCATCTGGCCACCCATTCATGATCCAGCGCTGGACACGCGCAAGCACGGAATCTTTTCTCGTGGATGCTGCAATTTTCTCCGAGTTCCAAGGCTGTTCTGGAGCGGTCTCTAGCATCCATACGTCTGCGACTGGAATGTCGTCCAGCTCTGTTGCCGGTATAGGCAGTCGACTGAGTGTATCAGCGTTTCCTATCTTTTTTCCCGGACGGTACTGCAAATCGTAGTGGTATGCGGCTAGCATTAGACTCCACCTGAGAACTCTTGGTGACACCATAGCTGGAATTTCTTTGTGCGGACTCAGCAATCCTAGCAGAGGCTTATGATCTGTGATTATGGTCCCCGGGCGGCCATAGATGTACTGGTGAAACTTTTCGACACCATTTATGATTGCCAGGGCCTCACGATCAGTTTGCGAGTAATTTCGCTCAGCCTTGCTTAGGGTTCTGGACCCGTAAGCTATTGGCGACTCTTGCCCAGAGTCGGCCATGTGACTCAAGACAGCTCCAAGACCATAAGGCGAAGCATCGCAGGTCAATAATAAGGGCTTGCTGATATCGTAGTGAGCCAGAACTGCCGTTGACTTGAGCAGTTATTTCGCCTTGCGATAAGCCTCAGCTTCGAGGACGGTCCATGCCCAGTTCGCCCCCTTATCCAGCAGTCTGTACAACGGCTCCAAGGTGTGAGCAGCTCCCTTGAGGAAACGATGGTAGAAGTTAAGCAAGCCCAGGAATGAGTGTAGTTCCTGTTTGTTCTTGGGCTCTGGAACTTCATGAATGGCCTTGACCTTGTCTTCAGTTGGTCGCACCCCGTCCTTGTCAATCCTGAATCCCAAAAACACGACTTGCATTTTGTTGAACGTACATTTTGCCTTGTTAAGACGTAACCCGTCTTCCTTGAATCGCTGCAGCACAGCTCGCAGGCGTCTATCGTGCTGTTCTTTGGATTCTCCGCCGATAAGGATGTCATCTAAAAAAATTAGTACTCCTTCAATTCCGGCAAGTAACTCCTCCATATAACACTGGAAGATCGCTACGGCGACGGATACTCCAAATGGAAGACGGTTAACCTTGAAAAGTCCCTTGTGCGTCGTGATGGTGAAAAGCTTTGCTGACTCATCATCGACGGTCAACTGCTGGTAGGCCTGTGCAAGGTCAAGCTGTGTAAAGCGACGGCAACACGCTAAGTTGCTCAGGAGTTGCTCTGGCGTGGGCAATGGGTAAGATTCCCACTTCACTGCTTTGTTTACGGTACTTTTATAGTCACCGCAAATCCGCAATTCACCACTCTTTTTCAGGATTGGAACTATGGGTGTAGCCCAACTTGAGTGTTTAACAGGTTCAAGGATTCCCTGCTGGACCAACTTTTCTAGTTCTTGCTCCACCTTCGGACGCATCGCATAGGGAACTTGCCTTGACTTGCAGAACTTAGGTGCAGCAGATCTGTCGACCTCCACACGGATGGATGGTCCCCGACTCTTTCCCAGACCAGCGTCGAAGATTTCCTTGAACTCCTCCAGGAATCCGCTACCCTCCTGGGTGTTCCTGAGTTGATGGACACCTGTCAGGCCGACTCCTAGATGCTTGAACCAGTTTCGTCCAAGAAGGCTTGCGTACTCTCCCTTGACCACTAGAAGTGGCGGAGTTGCCGACCTTTCTTTGTGTTTAACCTCCACGAGTACTCTTCCTAGGATGATAACAGGCTCCTTCGTATATGTGCGTAGCGCAACAGTAGATGGTTTCAGCCTATGATTTGGAATATGAAGTCGTGCCATTGTTCTCCTGCTTATGACAGAGAACATGCATCTTGAGTCAACCTCCATCGCTGTTGGCTGTCCGTCGATGTCGACATCTACGAGGATAGCAGGTTCGTTGGACGAGAGGTTGTACAGCCCGTACGGATGGTATCGCCGTCTAAAAGATCAGCGTGCGCCGTGCCCCGTCTCGCTCTTGGAGGACTTTTCTTAGCCTTCTTTTGAAGACAGGCTTTGACAATATGCCCTTTGCGGCCACAGAACAGGCATGTGGCGTTCTTGAAGTGGCAATCCTGCGGAGAGTGTGCCCCGTTGCATCGATAGCACACGGAAGTCGCTTGCTTGGTTTCAGGCTTCGCATGATGTTGTGCAGGCGGTGACGGTCCAGGTCCATCATTAGCCACGCTGTGGATTTGGCTGACGTCCTTAGGCGTAGTCCTAATCTCCATGGCATTGCTCCTCGCACATTCCGCTGCTATTGCCAGCTTCTCCGCTTGAGCCAACGTAAGCTCGGCTTCGCTCAGCAGACGTCGTTGCAAGGCCTCATCAATCTGGTCCCGCAAACTGCTGTCGAGGGCGTCTCCGAAGTTGCAGGTAACTGCAGTACGGCGTAAGTCCGCTATGAACTCAGCCTGGGGTTCGTCGCTGTGCTGTGCCCGCTTATGAAACTTAAAGCGTTCCACGATCTTCGAGGGCTTTGGTGCAAAGTGATTTCCCAACTTCTTAATGATGTCAGCGTAGTCCGTCTCTGAAGGTGTCGTTGGCGCGCAGAGGGAATGCAGCATTGCATGGGTCTCAGCTCCGCAAACGCTGCAGAACACGGCTCGCTTCATCTTGGGTGTATCGATACCGTGTGTTTCAAAGTGGAATTCCAGCCGTTAAAGGTAGAATGGCCATGTCTCCGGCTTACCTGCCTGGAAAGCTTCAAATGTCAGCGATGTCCTTTCAACCATGATGAGTTGCCGGAGTCTCGCCCGCTTTTTCCGATTTCCTCGTCGCCAAATTTGTTATGTACATTTAATTACATTGAAGCTATGTACATATATACAGGTCCGGTTCGCGACAGTACATGATGGACTGGCGGTTCGATCAGCGGTCCGAACTGCACGAGCACTCACAAACCTTGTCACTCGTCGTCTTCTTCCATTGACGCGAAGGTACGCTCGCAGTCGCGCCTAGCAGGCGCATATCTTACACATTCCTACAGCGAAGTCGCAGGTGGAGGCTTCTTCAATCAGGGTGCTTCTTGGAGATGTCCGCTAGAACTTTGTTCATTCTTGCCTGGACTTGTGACGTAGGGTCCTTTGGCAGCTTTTAACAAGCGGAAGTATCAAGAAGATCGTGAACCTTTTTCTCGTAGTCATCACGGTCCAAGACGACAGTCGAGTTGCCCTTGTCGGCTGGAAGGAGCACAATCTTGTCATCTTCTCATGGAATGAACAAAGTTCTAGCGGACATCTTCAATAAGCACCCTGATTCAAGAAGCCTCCACCTGCGACCTCTCTTTAGGAATGGATCTGCTCCAGGCTTGTATGGTCTTCCGAAGATTCACAAGCCTAGCGTTCCTCTTCGGTCTATTGTAGATTTTACCACCTCGCCACTTCGTGCTCTTTCCAACTATCTTCATCACACCTTTTCTCCTCTTGTGGGAAATACGACGACCTATGTGCGCAATTCCAGCAATTTCGTAGAGAAGGTTGCACTATTAAAGTTGAGCGCTGAGGACACCATGGTATCGTTCGACGTCATCTCGCTTTTTAGAAGTGTTCCTGTTCCCCTGGTAGTCGCCACGGCTAGGAACGCTTTAGAAAAAGATGAAAACCTCAGCGACAGAACGAACCTCAGCGTGGATGAACTGTGCCGCCTCCTTGAGCTCTGGCTCGACACTACATATTTCAGCTTTAAGGCGGAGTTCTTCAAGCAGACCAGTGGCACCGCGATGGGCGCTTCCATCTCCGTCACCACGGCAAACCTCTGCATGGAAGCTATTGAACAGAAGGCACTGCAGTCATTATCTACACCACCCAAAATTTTCTTGCGGTATGTAGATGACTGCTTCTGCGTCCTGGCAAAATCTGAAGTGGACAAATTCCTGGCGCATCTCAACACCATCGAGCCGGCCATCCAGTTCACTGTGGAGCGCGAAAAGGACGGCACCTTACCTTTCCTGGACGTGCTAGTAAAACGGCAAAAGGAACAGCTAAAATTTTCTGTATACCGAAAACCGACGCACACTGGACGCTACCTCCAGTTTCAATCCAGCCACCCAGCCAATCATAAGGCGTCGGTGGTCTGGACACTCTTAACCAGGGCAAAGACCATCTGCTCATCAGAAGAGGACAAAGGAAAGGAGGAACAAACCGTCATTGCTGACCTTAAGAAAAACGGCTACACGAGCAGCTTCATCGATCGCGTTGCCCGCCGTGTAGGCCGAAACCAACGACACGTGCAGCAACAGTTAAATGAGAATTTCCGCCCAACCTCCCGCATCAGCGTTCCCTACATCAACGGAACAAGCGAGGCACTCCCTGTTGAAAAATCCACCAGACCGGTTTGGTGTGTCCTAATGTTTTCTGACGTAAACATCAGACCGGCTTCGTGTGTTCTGGTGCGCACATCAGACCAGCCTAACGTGTTTTGTTGTCCCCACCAGAACACGTTAGGCTGGTTTGGTGTGCCCATCACATCATCCTAGTGTGGTCCGATGTGCACATCAAAACACACCAGGCTGGTCTGATGTGCACAACACAGCACACCAGAATGGCTTGATGTGCACACTATGCCACACCAGACTGGTCTAATGTCCCCACCAAGGCACACTAAACTGGCCTGACATGCACACCAGGGTGCCTCTGGTGAGCACACATTACGGATATATGTATGGTGTTGAATGAAAACATGTTTTCTTGTAAAATTATATAAGATGTACAGAGCTCAAACACCACATTTGATTTGATAAGGTGCTTAATTGAAGGGGCGATGCAACGATTCACTTCAAATAATATGTACTTTGCGTAAGCATGTTGGCACAGTGTAACAAACGTTTACCTATATGCAATAGCCTGATGGAAAGAATACAGGTTTGTCTCGTCAACAATCGTCAGCAGCTTGTCATCAATGAAAACTTGAAAATATTTCAGTCGGCATTTGACATCATCAGAGGCCGTAAACATGGGTTCCGCAGGCTCCAGAAAACACCGGTCTTCTTTTCCCCAGTCAAAAACTTGCGGCGGTGACTTTTGCTTCTTTCTTGACGTTGACAGAAGTGGACAGGCGGGCGTTCTGTCTTCAGTTTCGTTATCGCTTGGAAATTCTGTTGTTAGGCCCTTCGTTGGCAAGTTCTCCTCGTCACTGTCACTCACTTCACTATCACTAGGTCACGCATCAGAGACTGTTCCACTTTCTGGTATCCAAACCACACAGGGACGATCGCGACACAGTGTCTGGTAGAAAGATCCCGATGGGATTTCCTTCGGGCAGCAGTAGAATACGAAGCCTAAAAGAAAAGAGTACCACGTCAAATTCTACCAGAAAACAGGGATGCACTAAACCACACCAAACAGGAAGCTTTCTCCCGACAATTACAGCCGATTCCTCGTGCACAGGTATGCAAAATTCAGAGTGAACGCCCGCCCCTAAAGTAAACTACTGAAACAATGCCAAATCTAAGCACGGAACGGAACACCACAGAAATCACAGAGCTACTATGTGACTCCTCTCTTAAGACAGTTTCACATGCTGCGACTGTGCGAAAAAAAAAAAAAATCGGTGCGACAGCCGACGCAGCGAGTGCGATCGCAATGTTTGGTTTCACATGCTCCAACAACCGCGCGATTTCTGTCGGAGCGGCTGGCGCTTCGGACACGGACGCGACGCGTTTCACTTTGTCTAAAATACAACAAAAACGTCTTAATAAGCATACATGTTTTAGGAATGCAATATGTAACCAGAAATTTATAATAACGAAGCATTAAATCAGAAGCTTTTATGTGCCTAGATTTATTTTCGCGGATGAAAGCTGGCTAATGAACGGCTGATTGACGAGCAAGCGATCGCACCGGCTCTGCGGCAATATACCAACTTGGTGGAAACCAGTTGCAGAGCCGCTGCGACAGTGCGACTGCGATTTTAATCGCACATTCACTAGAAATCGCACCGATTTCGGGCGAGAATCAGAGCATGTGAAATAGCCTTCGCATATCTACTATGTACTTTTTTTTACCCCCGACCTTCATACGTTTCAGGGTAAAATACGTCAGCGCTATGGAATCCAGAACTTGTAAAAATTCAAAATTAGCATATTTCAGAGCAAAGTACTGCTTACCTTTGTAACAGCAGGTCGAAGTGCGTAGCACGGCGCGGACGATACGCATCTTGGGAGCCGCCATGCACATCGCAGCCGACGGAGCGACGGAGTATCTGGAAACTCCTCGCGGCGAAAAGTCGAGACCGCGAAACCGAAACCAGAAAATGTATTTCCTAAGATACGTTAAACATTTTGCATGAGTATTGCTTTGGGTCCCAAAAACACTATTTTTATATTGAATGTGTCCTAAAAATACACAAACATTTTTTAAAGTACCTAAAAGGGTTAATAAAAATAAAAACGAAAGGAAAACTGTAGTGTTGCTAGAAGTGCTAGGAATCGTCGGCGGCGTCTGTGCACACTGGGCAATTTGCCCCGCCAGCGAGCTGCTGAGCGCGAAGGAAAAAACGGTCGTGGGAGAAAAGGTAAGGGTTAAGGATATTTCTTTGTTTCTTTTTGTGCTTGCTGCATTACCATGTGGGGATTTCGCATTATTAGGTCTGCTGAGACACTTGTAGCTTTATTTTCAGTGAACGATTCGAGCCTGAATGTATAGCTTTACAGAAGAAAAATTTCCGGGCGGCTATCAGTTCGAAAGTCTTTGTTACCCAGCATTGCTAGCCGGCAAGCATATTCTAGAGTTGTCATTTGGACACCAGTTTGAGTTTTCTTCACCACTTGTGGGGTCTCTCTGTAATAATCGCCGCGCGATCGGCATGTGCTTCGCTCGTCTCCCAGGGAGTGACACAATACAACCAGAAGATTGCGAATCGGTTTACTGTACTTCCCAGTTGTCCGTCTTCGAGAGCCGGCACTGCGGCCCGTCGAGCCGGGTTGTCGCCCGTCATTCAGAGCTCGCAGTCGCTGTCCGTGTCCAGGCCTGCGGATCGTCCTCCCCACGCCAGCGCTGCGTAGGCAAGCTGTTCCGGGCTATCACAGCCCGAGTCTCGCTGCGGAACCACTCCGGGATCGTCATGGCCTAGGTCGGTGTGGCCAGGGCTCGCCGTTTCCGCCGGTCCTGATCTGAACCTCGCTGGCGGAACGCTCCAGGAGTCGCCATGAGCCAGACCGGCCAGAACGGCTCCATCGTTCCATCGCGGCCCCAGCCTGGTGCGGCACGCTCTTCCTGTTTCCTCGCGCTCGCCCCCGGCTAGAAAATGTGAGTAATTAGAAACATACTCTGCATGCTAGAGAACAGTATGCACGTTACAATGGCTGTACCGTGATATGCAAGCCTGGTGTGAAAAGGTGACAGGCAACAAAGTGCACATGTGAGAAGGATATTTACGCTTCACTTGAGCTTTTTCGAAAGAAAAACTTACGCATCCTGTTTTCTGCCTGCCGTCACATTTGTTACCAGATTCAGCGTTAAATTTTGTTGCCGAAACAAACAAAGCTTTATGTGCTGCGAAAATTTACTATTTGAGAACTCGCAGGTTTGGAAGGTTTTGGTTACGACCGCGCGTGTGCCAAACGGCTATGCGCACATACAACTACGACTGCCGGGACGGGCCTCTCGCTTCTTGAAGGCCTGATCGCCTGATTCTGGACGTCACAGCGAAGCAACAATCGGCCCGATTGTTCCTATTGTATTTCCCTATGTGGTGTCTATAGTCTGTTGCAACCTAAGAACGAAGGGTGAGGGTA